AAAAATTGAATTTAAATATTTAACTAAAATATTGACAGTGGGCTCACGTGGTGGCTCATGCCTATAATGCCAGCACTTTGGAAGTCTGGGGTGGGAGGACTGCTTGAGCTCAGGAGTTTAAGATCAGCTTGGTCAATGTAATGAGACCTCATCTCAGCTAAAAGTAATTTTAAAAAGATTAGCTGGGCATGGTGGTGCACACCTGGAGTCTCAAATACTCGAGAGGCTGAGGCAGGAGGATCGCTTGAGACCAGGAGATCAAGGCTGTGGGGAGCTATGATTGAGCCACTGCACTCCACCCTGGGTGACAGAGCTAGACACTCTCAAAAAAAAATTAATAGTAGAAGCATTGCACTATCTAGAAGTTGCTCACTCTGCAATAGACGTAAGTCAATGTATGCAACCAAATTTTTTGGTTGATTTGGGGAAGAGGCTGATGGCAGAATAGTTTGGGATCCTGAATAGAATTGGGAGATGAGCGTGAGGGTAACAAATTCCTATAAGTCCTGTAATTCTAAATTCCTGTAATTGAGGAAGACAATCTTCTCCACTTGGCTATGTTGGACTAATCTCATTTTATTTACCTATAACTGTCCCAGGTCAAAAAGAAAACCTGCACTGAAGAATTTCTGTGTTGTATGAGCCAGTCAGCCCAATCACTTGTGATGGATGAAGATTTCCTGTGTTTGTTTTTAACAGCCCTGTCGTGGTTTAAAAAGCACATCTCTTTCTTCAAAGGATTTGCTAATCAGGGTCGATTGCAGGCATTGACAATAAGCTCATTTATCAGGGTGCCAGAAGAATGCACTAGTTGGGTGTGTAGGCTCTAGGCTTAGGCTCGCTGGATTGGATCCTGGTTCTGCAGCCTGATGGTGGCGTAACCGTGGGCCATAGTGGCAGCTACTATCATCATCCCCATGTTATAGATTAGAAGCTGAGTCACAAGGAGGTTATACGCTTTGCATTTTATTATCTGATATCTGGCACAGAGTAAGCACTCATTACAAGTCAGTTATTATTGTTAGAGTGTTTAGAGGTCAAAATTTGAAGCTGTAAAGGTTATCTTGTTGAGGATACTTCTCTAATGTCAGCTAGGAGACAAGGTCTGTGTTACTCTGGCATTCAAGGCCTTCCACACTGTGATTCAGATATTGTGAAGAGATGGGCCCTACATTCTCATTTGGGGAGCCCAGGAAAGGTTTGCACTGTGGTATAGGCTCCTTTCTCATGAGCTATTTGCTGAAAGTTTGTTAGCTCCATGTGGTGCCCTACCCTAAGCTCCATGTAGTGCTCTACCAGAACCCCATTCTTGGCTTAGAGAATGGGGTTACCATCTCGAAGCTTATTATCTGGTGCCACTGCCAGAGAGCTCTGCCCTGTGGTCTTTAATGTTTATTTGTAAGCATGTGCAACCATTTGGTCGATAATCTTGTTTACTGGCTTTTGTAGGGCAAAGCCTAACACCTTTGGTCTTTTTTGTTTCCTGGCTAACAGCAGAGCTAGTCCTTGGAGACTCCTGTTGGGTTTTCCTCACCACCAGTATTAATGTATTCTACAGAAGGGAGGAGATCCGGATTTTAATCAAGAAACCATTCTACTTTATTTTACATGAAAACCTCCAAAACAATGCTGGAGGAGTCTTTCCCTTTTCTCCAGAATTTTAAAAAGCAAAGGTCTGATTTATTTTCAATGTTGCACTACAAACATTTTATGATTATTTTTAAAAAGAAAATACAACAGCTCCAGGACAAGAAATTTGAATGGTGCATAGGACAAGACTCAATCAATGGAAAATTTGTTTCACATATAAAGATCATTATTTGTTTCTCTAAACATAGGATCATTGCTGTTTTAAAGTCAGTTCCATCAAAGTGCAATTCATATTAATACTATCAATTTTTGCCTTATATAAAACATTTTCTTCGCATCCTACTGTGGTCGTTTGCGGCTGAATGGCAAATTTTATGGGGATAAAAAAACTAATTCAAGTACATATCAAATAATTTCAGAGAAAAAATATAGACTCAAGAAGGGAAGGCCATGTAAAGTAGATAAACAAATCACATTCCAATTGAGGGTATTTGGGTTCATTCAGTATCACATTTGTCTTTGCGTCTCTTGCATTTCTCCATTTATGTCATTTTATTAAAGCTCCAATTTACCTACTTCATGGTGTGTTTGGGGAAAAGTCTGACAGGTAAGTTGGTTAATGAGACGTAGCTCTGTAAACAAGCAAGGCCTTGCTAAATGGAGTCTAAATGATGGGTGACTAGGAGTTTAAAGCCATAATGGAATTGATAATTTCTTTGACAACATTATAAACCATGGTAGGAAAGTGGAGCATATGATGGTGTCACTACAAGTTACTGTGTATTTGTATACACACAGTGACATAGTTTTATTCTTTATGTTTACTCTATTACGTCCTATTTCCCGCCCACTGATCAGGGCACAGTGACTCTTCCTCTTTAAGTGAGCCCCTCCTCCCTTTAGTATAGGTGCTAAGGAATCTACACTGCAGGCTTAGGTGTGCCTGGCCCTTGGCAACCCCAGTCACATCTGACAGTATCAATATTAGCCCCATCTCCACTAGGGGTAGGAAGTCTAAACCAGCAGTTCTCAAAGTGTGGCCCTGGGACCAGCAACACAGGCATTTCCTGGATGTGGTAGAAATACAGGTTCTCAGGCCTTGACCAAGACCTACTGGATGAGAAACTTGGGCTGGGGCTTAGTAATCTGGGTTTTAATGAGCCCTCTAGGTGGTTCTGATGTTCATTCAAGTTTAAGAGCCAAATTGGTCTTAACTTATTCTGCCCTGTATCTATCTGTCTGGGTTTACTTCCTGGGTACTCGGAAATCTAGGAACTTCAGTTTTTCCCCATTAGTTTTCTCATGAATGGGTCTCTGGTCTCTCTGACTGGGTTTCTGCCCTGATGTCAGATTTATACTCTAGTTTCCAGCTGAGATCATCACCTTGCTCACTAGACTAGAACCCTGTCAGCTCAATTCCCTAAACACATCACAGTCCTGCCTTTACCCATCTCCCTCCTGGCTGGTGGCCAAGTCTGGCACTGAATTGGTTGGGCCATTTGGAGCCAGTTCCCACTGGGGCATCTTCATGACCTGGCCGCCCCATGCTGTGCCCCCTGGCAGGCTGCCATAACACTGGCCGGGCTGACTACCAGGCACTTCACCCCTGGACACCATGGTTCCCATTAGTATCTTTCCTTTCTTACTAGGCCTTGTCCTATAATCTGGATAACTATCTTAACCTGTTTAAAGCCCCACTATAATACTCCCCTCTCCCTGCTGAACCAGATATTAAGGGGCTGCATAAGTTATGACACCTATTTGACGTCAGTGGATGCTTTTGGAAAACACTAGAAGAGAGCTAGGTAAATACTTTAGGATAAAACGTGTTACTGATTTGGGGACAACTTCTTTTAGGGTAAAAAAAGAAATAGTAGAAAACAAATTACATTTTATTGCTTCAAGGAAATCCTGATATCACTACTTTATATTCTGAATATTTTAACTCACCTGATAGGGTATTTAGTACTTGTATTTTGTGGGGACCAGCATCCTCTAACTTGGTTTCCAAGCCCTAATATTTCCATGCAAGGATCTACCTACTGAATTTTATTTTCCAGAAACCTAAACACACCACTGTCTTACTAACAGTTCACAGGAGACCCAGCGCTATAGGGTTTAATGCAATCTGTGTACTCATCCATGGGAGCCTACAGGTGACAACCACTGTGAAAGAAATTGCAAGTCACATTTATGTGCTTAGGAAGTAATTCAAGAAGCATTTCAAAACACTCTCTATTCACCTTTAGTCAAAGCCTTTTTTTGTGTTTAGCAATATTCACAGTACTTCAAGAAGCCCTTTTTTCTTAGAATTTGGTTTAATGCATAGACAGTTGGCCTGGTTTAAGCATAAGTTTTCCTATACTAAACTTGTGAGACCTGCAGTAAATGGTGAATGAAAGTGTTTACATTTGTGGTTGTATTCATTTAACTTTCCATGAATTATGTATTCAATCCTACTGTGTGCCAGGCACTATACTAGGTGCTGTAATAACAGACTCTTGACTGTAAGGATCTTCTTGGAAGTCCTTTTCCAGTCAGATGGATCTTTACGTGTTGAATGCAGTAGGTATAAATTTGTCTTATAGACAATGGGTAGGGACCAGGAAGTGACTGCATGATCATCAAAAATGTATAGATTTGAGAAATAAAATGTGATTTGCCTAAAGCACTGTTGTTACCTTCTGGGATATGAAAATGAGGACCCAGGTCACAAGAACATTAAATAAAGACAGCCACACTTTAAAACAGATTTACCCATTTTCACAATTGACACCAGCGACCCATTTTTGTCAAAACGTCTGCCCCTCCCATACTTCAGGTTTATAGTAATCGTCTTCCAGAACTGCTTACTGGAGGGCCACTGACTGAAGCCTTTACCCCCTTTTCCCGTATGAAAGTGTCTAACTTGCATCTATAGCATCCCTCTGGCTAAGCATATGGCTCACGAAGCAAGTATGTTTAAGCATTTCCTATGTCCCTGTTGTAAGTGCTGTGAGGAATTAAAAAACAATAAATTCACTTTATCCTTCATATTATAGCTTTTTCTATATCAGTCCAACTGGATTGTATCTTGAGGACAAGACCTGTGATTTATTTTTGTAAGCTCCATAGTATACCGAATTGTACTGAATACAGATTGTTGAATGGAATAATTGATAGATGAATAAATAAATTTCTAGGGACAGACTATAAACAGACATCATCCTAGGATTTGGAAGCCTTCTGGAAAAGTCAGTGTGGTTGGTACTACGTCACTCTGTTTCACCCGATGGGTGAAGGTCAACTTGACTGCCGGGAAAGTTAGGTTAGGACCTGCCATTGTACTATTGACTAAGTCAGCACTACCAGAAATTGAACAGCGCAGTCATGCCTCGTAACGATTTCCTTTGCTAGACGTTGTCACTCACCTGATCTGAAGCCAAGTCAGCATGGGGGTTGTTCCTCCTCCAAATACCCAGACAGTGAAGAACACGAGGAGCAGTGTGGTGGTAAACATCATTTGTTTGGGCTGAGATTCTGTGTTCCGAATAGCTAAGGCAAATGCGATCGCTCCTCGCAAACCTTGCAGGAAAAACCAAAGGAGAAAATAAACACCTTGCAAGTGTCTTTTTCATTTCAATGGATTCATCCTTACAATGTGCTGACACAATTTTTTAATTCATCTTTTTATTCTGAGATAATTATAGATTCATAAAGAGTTGTAAGAAATAATACAGAAAGACACTGTGTACTCTTTCTTCAGTTTCCTCTCAATGATATCATGCAAAACTATATAGCTCAATATCTCAACCAGAATATTGACATCGAGCCAGTCAAGATAAAGAACATTTCTGGCTGGGTGCAGTGGCTCACACTTGTAATCTCAGCACTTTGGGAAGCTGAAGTGGGAAAATCACATGAAGTCAGGCATTTGAGATCAGCCTGGGCAACAAAGCAAGACCCTGTCTCTAAAAAAAAATTTTTTTAAAAATTAGCCAGGCATGGTGGCATGTGTCTTTAGACCCAGCTACTCGAAAGGATCACTTAAGCCCAGGAGTTCAAGGCTGTAATGAGCTAGGATTATGCCATCAGTCTGGGTGACAGAGCAAGACCCTGGCTCTAAAGAGACAGAGAGAGAGAAAAAAAAAAAACCATTTCCATCACCACAAGGATCCTTCACATTGCCCTTTTATAACCACACCTACTTCCCTCCCACACACTCACTCCTTAATTCCTAACAACCAATAATCTATTCTCTGTTAAGATGATTTTGTCATTTCAAGAAAGTTACATAAATGGAACCATGCAGTATATAGTCTCTTGGAACTGCCTTTTTTTTAACCCAGCATAATTTGCTGGATAATCATTCAGGTTGCTGAATTATTGGTAGTTGTTCCTTTTTATTACTGAGCAATATTCCACAGTCTGGATGTTCCACAGTTTATTTTACCACCTGTCTGTTGAAGGATATCTGAGTTGTTTTCAGTTTTTGGCTATTAGAGCAAAGGATGCTAAAATTTACATACAGATTATTGTGTGAACGTAAGTTTTCATTTCCCTGAGATATATGCCCAGGAGTACAATCACTAGGTAGTATAGTATTTCCATATTTAGGTTTTTAAGAAATTACTCAATTGTTTTCCAGAGTGGTTGTAACATTTTACATTCCTACCAGCAATATATAAGTCATCCAATTTCTCTGCCTCCTTGGCAGATTTGGTGTTGTCACTATTTTTCATTTTAGTCATTCTGATAAGTATGTGGTGATGGTTTGTTGTGGTTTTAATTTGCATTTTCCTAACAGTAAAATGGTCTTGAGCATTTTGAAATGTATTTGTTTGTTATCCATATACCCTCTTGGGTGAAATGGCCCTTCATGTCTTTAACTCATTTTTAAAAATCGGATTGTTGAGTGTTTATTGTTGAGTTTTGAGAGTTCTTAACAATTCTATATAATAGTCCTTTGTTGGATGCATGGTTTGCAAATATTTTCTCCCACTCTGTGGCTTCTCTTTTCATCATCTTAAAAGAGTCCTTTGCAGAGAAAAAGTTTTCAATTTTGATGAGGTCTAATTTGTTGATTTTGCTTTTTATAAATTGTGCTTTTGGAGTCATGTCTAAAAACTCTGTGCTTAGCCCTAGATCGCAAAGGTTTTTCCCTATTTTTTTCTGAAAGTGTTACAGTTGTACATTTAGGTCCATGATCACTTTGATCGAATTTCTATATAAGGTGAGAGGTTTAGGTTGAGGTTCCTTTTTTCACCTATGGATATTTAATTGCTTCATTGAATTGCTTTTGGAACTCCATCAAAAACCAGCTGGGTATATTTTTGTAGGTCTATTTCTCAGTTCTCTACTTTGTTCCATTGATCTATGTGTCTGTCCTTCTTCTAACAGCACACTGTCTTAATTATTGTAGCTATATAATAAGTCTTAACATTGGGTAGAGTGATTCTGCCCACCTTAATTTTGTTTTCAAAATTGTTTTAGCTATTCTAGTTATTTTGCCTTTCCATAACATTTTAGAATAATATTGACTGTATATACAAAAGAAACTTTCTGGGAACAATTACTTTTTAAGAATCAAATGTGTCAGACAACAAAGAAAACTAAGTTTATGGACCACTGAAAATTAACTACTTCAATGGCATTTAAAATTACTCTAGAATGATTACATAGTTTTACAAGATCTATAAACTAGTATATTAAAACCTGATTTTTCTTCTTCTTTTACTTTTTCTTTTGTAATAATATGCTAATTGCATTTTTATGAATCCATATTAAATATATTTGCAAGAGGCATTAAAAATGAAGGGCTGGGCATGGTGGCTCACGCCATAATCCCAGCACTTTGGGAGGCTGAGGTGGGCAAATCATGGGGTCAGGAGTTTGACACCAGCCTGGCCAACATGGTGAAACCCCATCTCTACTAAAAATACAAAAATTAGCTGGGTATGGGGGTGCACACCTGTAGTCCCAGCTACTCGGGAGGCTGAAGCAGGGGAATTGGTTGAAGTTGGCAAGTGGAGGTTGCAGTGAGCCAAGATTGTGCCATTGCACTGCAGCCTGGGTGACAGAGTGAGACTTCATCTCAAAAAAAAAAAAAAAAAAAAGAAATACTAGAACTTGAAGTTGAAGTGTGATGACACTAATAAAAATAGAAATTTAGACTTGGAAGAAGAGTAAATAAAAGCACAACTAGTAAAGGAAAGGAGTTAAAATGGAAGGTCTCTCTTGGGCAACACACGATGTGCAAGACATTTATAGTCCTTGTTATATTGTGTAATAGGACAAATAAAGATTTATAATGACAGCGAGTATAACCCAAAGAGGTAGTGATTTGGTTATTTTTATTGAAAGCTTTAAATCATACATATACAATTTCAATGATCTACTTTTTATAATATTTATTATAGGATTTAGGTTTCTAAATTTCTAAATCTGTATTCGTACATTAAAGGAATTTTAAAAAGTAGATACAGGGCAGGATGAGAAAAACTATAACCATACTGGTTTTTGTTTCTAGGTTCTCAACTTAGAATATAATGCTCCTTTCTTATCTCCATGCTGAGACTATTCAAGAGACAAGTGGCATAACACAAGATCCACAGGATTCGACTAGAGAGACTTAATACGTTTTGCCTGAAACAAGGAAATCTCCGAAAGAGAGAAGAACATGCACTCTGATTATAAAATACCTTCAAGGAACAAAATGTAATGGAGAAAGGAAATTATTCTAAATCTCCGTGTAGACATGGAAATGGCCTATAGATAAGGAAGATACCATTTGAAGTAGATATTAATAAAAAGTTCTTACACATCAGAAATTCTGAACACTTGAGATGGTTGTACTCAAGAAGAAAAGGCCCCACCAGAAGTACGAGTGCATTCACACCCAGCTGGGGATAAGAGTGGGGATATTAATAACCCTTAATACTGGCAACTATTTTAATGGTGTTCTCACCAGGAAATACAAATGGGATCATTAGGGAATGAGAACTCAAGGAAACAGTCTTACAATAGACTTCTGTATCTGAGGAGAGAATTTATAGGTCAAGGTAAAGCTCCTAGCAGTGTTTAGTCACAGTACAAGATTAGAGCTAGAAAGTGAACTTTCCAGCTGGGGGAGGGGGTGGCTCACACCTGTAATCTCAGCACTTTGGGAAGCTGAGGGAGGTGGATTACCTGAGGTCAGGAGTTCAAGACCAGCCTGGCCAACATAGTAAAACCCCGTCTCTACTAAAAATACAAAAAGTTATCTGGGCGTGGTGATGGATGCCTGTAATTCCAGCTACTATGGAGGCTGAGGCAGGAGAATCACTTAAACCTGGGAGGTGGAGGTTGCAGTGAGCTGAGATCGTGCCACTGCACTCCAGCCTGGGCAAAAAAAAAAAAAAAAAAAAAGAAAAGTGAACTTTCCAATTTCTCCTTTCCTCAAGCTCATAGTGATAGGTCCATAAAGCAGCACCATGGCAAAGTACATAATGTTAGAAGTATTAGACAATGAGTGGCTAAGTATTAATAGTTCTCATTGATAGAAATATTTGTAGTTTTTTAACTTCGTGTCTTTGTGACAAAGATGAGAAACTAGAATAAAAATTAAAAGTTACAATAACATGCCTACTATAAACTCTTTCATGCTGGATATTAAGGGCAAGGAGGTAAGCAATCATTAATCTTACTAAGAATGTTTAACAATGTATTGTTATTATGTTAAACTAGGGTAACTATGCTCTTAAATCTAAATTATCTATACATGAGCAATTCTTGGTTTAAAATTATACTCAAATATATGTTATGCTGACTTCTGAAACAACCTATATCTATATATAGAATACCCTATATTTACAGGAGATGCAATGTAGAGATTTCAGAAACAAATGGAAAAGTACAGCCACTGTCTTGTGGCAGGTTGAGAAACATTGTTAATTGGGGCCAAACCCCAAGATGTTGAAAAGAGGATGCCTTCTCAATGTTATAACCACCTAAAAAAACATAGATACAGGCTGTTTTTAGAGATGGGATCATCTGTCCATAGCCCTGGTAGCATGTGGCATGCATGGCACTGTGGCACTGGAAGCACGAGGATGGACATGAGAATGGTGAGGCTGCCAGGTGGACAAAGTGAAGCTAATGTAGAACTCCAGATGAGGTGGACTATTGTCTATGTCCTACTCATTCTTTATGACTCTGAAGTTGCTTATCACACATTTGGAGCCTAGATAAATGTAAAACCAATGCATTCATTGGTTCATTTAATGTACATGTATTGATTACCTCCTAGTTGGAGACTCTGGGCATACTGATCCTATCTTCTTTACGCTATGGTTTTGGGCAATAGAGGATTTTAGGATTGAAATAGATTATTAGGGTACCAGCAAAATACTAAAAATGAAAAATGAATATTGACTTAGGATTTTCTTTTTAGTCAAACATTATTTCCAAAAAACACAAACCATTTCTTTTAAAAACTCAGGAAATCTAGAACTTGTCAAAACTTGTATTTTGTATTGTTTTATGGATACTTTGAGTTTGAGTCTTTGGGTTTTACCTTGCTTTTTCTCTTTGTTTTGGCCAACTAA